ATAGAAGTGTGTAATAAAACTTTGGCCCTGCTGGTGAGACCCACCCTGGCCATTTAAGGGGTTAAAATAGATGTGTTAAAGTAGGAAGAGCATTAAAGTGTGTAAGGTAGTGGGCCTCCAGGACTAGAGATGAGAAACACTGCTTTAGGGAACCAGCATCGCTCCAGATGACCCTTTTTGGCACCTTTATTTTCAAGCACTTGCTTCCACAAGAGGAAGTGAAGAATAGGCTACTGTCCTAGATACTAGCACTGTTGACCAAAGACTTCTCAATGTCTTTTCAGCTGACCCACTGGGCAGTCACATCTCAGACTGTCCTGTTGTCCCAGATGGTTTAAATGCATTAGAGGTGAACAAGAGGCAGTCAGATGGTGTTCTGCAGAATGGGAGTGAGGCTGCTCTCCAGAATCCTAAAGTTATTCAGCCACAGCAGGGAACGTATGTAATAAGGGACAAGGACATTTAAACGATTTGTTTTTCCTCGGTGTGGGTAAAAGAATGAAAGAAGGAAAGAAAACATAAAAGCGAACAAGAGGAAAGCCTGAGAGGAACCAGATAAGGGGGGGGAAAAAGCAGCCCGCCGTCTGCCATCCTCTTTACATGCCCAAAAACACAGATAATAGACTTCTCCCATGCGTGTAAACATTACATTTCCATGGTAATGGCCTCTTTCCCACATCTCCAGCGAGTAGTCAGGGCAAGCGAAAGTCTCTTAATCCTGTTGGCCCTCCAACAGCCATGCCAGTCTTCCAGCTGAAGAAAGCAAATTAGAATAAACAGAGAGAGCTCCTGGCTTAGAGAGCAAACTTAGAGAAAACACACATGGCTGCGGGCCCACAGACAAGGATCTGCAGCCTTTCACTCCTCTTCCTCCAAGCAAACAAACTGCTTTCATTATTCATTTGCATTATCTATTGTCTTTATCGAGACCTGCAGCAGTTCCTTCAGCTTGTTTCTCATGTGGTAATCAGTGATGCACTTTCTTCTTCTCGCTGCATCTTTCTTCACTCTTTTCTTCTTGATTCTGAATTGTTTTGCTCAAGGGCAACATGCTTCCCTGCTTGAAACAGTGCAGCAAAAATGACTGTAGACCTTGTTAAAAAGCTGCTGAAGATCATTAGTAAGGCTCAGTTTTTGTAACGGTGTAAAAAAAAGAGTAGGTACAATCTGGGAGTTGAAAATATTGCTTTATTTTAAGACCAGTCATCAGCTATTCAGGCCATTGCTTCTTCTTTCCCAGACCTACACAATCAAAGATCAGACTTATGTGATGGGAATTAGATCACTGTATCAGACATAGCTATAATTATTAGCCAACTAATTTGATTAACTAATCTTTAACTAGTCTGAGCGAAATGTGGGTTTTTTTTTCTTTTCTCTAGAAGCACAGACCTTAGCTTTGAACAGTACTGCTGCCCCCTAGAGGTTCTCACTGGCAAACACAGTCTTTTATCCATCTAATACTATCAGCTGTTCTGGAGTCAGCATCTTCAGGCAATCAGAATTCACTGCTAAGTCTGATAAACACTGATAACTCCAAAAATCCAAACTACTAGACACAATTTAATAAAAACTCAGGCAAAAATATTAATTAATTCAATAATAACTTTTTTATATAGCACCTTTCAATACAGGAAAATGCAGCTCTACAGTGTATTATAACTATGTATATATATATATATATATATATATATATATATATATATATATATATATTAGGGGTGCGGGAAAAAATCGATTCTTAGATGCATCGCGATGCGGACGTGAACGATTCTGAATCGATTCACAAATGTCAAAAATCGATTTTCTAAATATTTAATTTATAATGTAATGTTGACGGAACGCAAAAGGCACAACTTGGAAGTGGGTAAGTGCAGCGCCCGGACAGTCTGTGGCGGCACATAACAAAAACACACAGGGATGAGCGAGAAATCCGACCGGCTCCCTCTGCATTAAAGCCAGGTTAGATCAGGAGTCACAACCCAAATGATAAGAAGAGACATTTTGCCTTTCAACAAAAATCAAACCACCTTGGGAGCCGCAACATTTAATGTCCAGTATGTCTCAGTATGTGATAATGTCCTAGTTTAGACTAAACAATATAAACGAAAACGCAGATTTACTCCGCTCTGCTTTAAGCTTCGCCTACAGCCGCTTTCCTCCCATCTCCGCCAGAAAACTTTTCCTCAGAAGTTGATCAGTTAAATGTCTCTCAACGTTCGACTGTTTTACGAGGCTGAAGTCGCTTCTTATTCTCCAGCTTCTTGTTCGAATTTACCCGTTCCACCTTAAATTCTGACTGAGGCGCCGAATGTAAATGCGGCACCATTTAAGGTGGAACGGGAGAATTCGAAAGAGAAGCGACTTCAGCTTCGCCACTTTTTACTGTTTGACAGTCTCTCGTTGCAGATTTAACGTACCAGGAAACCAACTGCGCTGCTTATAAATGTGAATAACGCATCGCTGCTATGTGACCTGCAGTCCGCACGGCGGTTCTCAGTCGTTGCGAAACAGGGCTTTCGCGCTATGTTTCACACGATCCGTCTCAAAGACATTTTACTGACACAGCGATCCCCTCCCGTCTCTACAACGAGACCAAAACCGAAGTTATAAAATCACTAAAGAAAACGGGTAGAATAGCTGTAACGCGCTGTGTGGACATCCATCACCACTGGATCTTATTTCACCGTAACTGCGCATTTTATCGCAGATGAGTGGCAGCAGCGTCTCGTGCTCCTAACAAGAGCACTGAATGAGAGCCTTCTGGTTCACTTGCCACATCACTTCCATTTGTTTTATTAAAAAAAATGTTGGAAGTAAATTTATTATGGATCATTACAAATACTTTGCTTTAAAAGTTCCAAGTCACTTTAAATAACAACACAGAGTCACTTAGTCACTTTAAAATGTATATTTTCTTCATATTTTGTGTATATTTAATATATTTCAGTTGGTTTTTCTTGTATTTTTATTTTTACTTATTTACTTTCTGTAGAGTGATTAGCTGAGCCTCACCACAAGCATTTCAATGCATAAACGTCCTGACATGTTGTGCAAGTGGCAAATAAACTTGAACTCGAAACTTGAGCTCACACAATGAGAAAACATAAATGCTATATAGAAAAAAAAGATGCATCGAGATGCATCGATAATCGTTTTATAATCGCATCGCAGCCCTCTGAATCATAATCGAATTGAATCGTGAGGTGCCTAGAGATTCCCACCCCTAATATATATATATATATATATATATATATATACACGCATATGTATGTTGTCGGAACAAAACCTTGCACTTTACAGAAGAAGGAAAAAAACAAAACAAAACAGAACTTTTAATGTAAGTCAATGGAACCAGACTTTTTTTCCAAGTAATTCTGGGCCATTTCTTTTGGTATATATAATATATATATGCAATACTGTGCAAAATTCAGAGACCACTCTTGTTTATTCAATTTTCACTCAAAAGTACTCATTAAGTACAAGTTATTCATTTTTCAGTGTCAGAAAAAAGCAGGAAACATATCATCGTAGTACAAAAAACAAAGAAACAAACAAAATAAAAAGTATTTCCAAAATGGTAATTTTACAGGAGAAGGCAAAAAAATACTTTAATGGAGGTCAAAATAATGAGATTGTATATTGTATTCCAAGTAATCCTGGAGCATTTCTGTTGACACAATGTAAATGGCTGAGCTGGGCTCAAATGATGTAGAAAAATAAAAATGTAAAAAATAGAGGTGCAAGTTTTTGGACAGTGATGATATATTTAACAGAAAATTACACAAAATCATCCAACACTAAAATCAGATTTAGCAGTATTTAATTTGTCTACTCTTTACTTTTGTGCACCAAGTGCTGCTTTAATTCTTCCATCAATCCAAACTTAAAACCCCATTCACACATTTCTTATGTGCATCTAAAACAGCTAAAGGAGATGTTTCTGTAGAGAGTAGATAAAAGATAATCCACTTGCATTAGGACTCCTAACAACCATGCAAGACCTGGTAGACTATTAACACTGTCACCATCAGATAAACAGGACTTAAAAAGGAGAAAATCAAGCTCCTCTCTTACTTCAGATCTGAAAAAATCCACAGGTGTTTTTGTCCATCCTTCCACTGTGAGAAGACAACTCAACACTATCTGTTTGTCTGAAAGGATGTGCAGCTGTGAAGACGCTGTTACTGAGGAAAGAAAGTAGAGAAAAAAGAAAAACATTTACACTGCAGCAGTCAAACTGCACATTTGAGATGTGACGTAAGATTTTATGGACGAATTCATTCAAATGTGCAATTGGGAAGCTGAAACTGCAAACAACTTCTAATACTGAACTCTGGATCTGTGGGAAAAAAACGAATAACTTGTATTAGGTGGCCATTTTGACTGGAAATTAAATAAATGGAAGGGTGGTCTATGATTTTGAACAGCACTAAATATATGACAAGCATTAATGGGTGAAGAGTTCCACATCTTTGATGCATAATTACAGAAGGGTGCTTTGCAAGTGTTTTGGGGGTTTTATCCAAGGAACATTTAATAAGCAGCACTTGATTTTCTTAATTCACGTTTGAAACATTATCCAATATAAATGATCTAATGAGACTGCATACTCTCTGCATACATTGTTAGCCCCCCTTTACCCTCCAGCAACACTGCTGTGTCTGATCAACTTGTACCAGCACAACACACACTAACACACCACCACCACTTCAGTGTTACTGCAGTGCTGAGAATGATCCACCACCCAAATAGTACCTGCTCTGTGAGGGTCCATGGGGGTCCTGACCACTGAAGAACAGGGTAAAAGGGGGCTAAAAAAAGGGGGACTGTAAGAGGGGGCTTACTGTCTTATGAGGAGCAGTATCATTCACACAACACGTCACAATTTAGAAGATTAAAACTAATTAAAAGAGTTAGGATGTGACTTTTATCTTTGGACTTCGTTTGCCTTTTGTTTCCTTAAAGCTTTTATTTTGAAAGCGCCACTTCCGTAGAAACATACCAACTCCTAGCGGAAATGGCTGCTGTGAGAGGTTTCATATTAGCTGGTGTTTTCTGTGTGTCCGTGTTTTGTATTTTCTCATGGAAATATTCAGTCATAGGTAATTTCTCTTTCGGAAATATCCAGTCAACATAATCATTTTAATTCATATTTACGAACCTCAGTTTCCTCAGTCGTCATTTCCTTTTAGTAGACTTTACCAGAGACACTTTCTGTACCGCTGAAATGACTGTTTGAGCTGAAGAGCACTGAGTTCGCTTTAACGAGTCGTGTAGTGTAAAGTGTCCCTCAGCAGCTCGTGTTTGCTGTTCTGGTCTGCAGGTGTTCAAGCTGCCTTACAGTTGGCAGGACGAGGACTGCTGTTTCTGGCTCTGGCAGCATGGATGGTCTCCTCTTTGTACCCAAAGTTGAAGTCTTTTTTGTTTCCAGCTAGTCCTGCAGAACTGGAAAGTATGTTTCAACCAAGCCTTTTGGAAATCCCCTCCTTTTTTATTATGCTCATTTACACAATTCGGGGGTCTTAAAGCTGTTTGCAAAAGCTTGAACTGCCCAGGTCAAATTACGTTTTGTTGGTTTTCTAAGTGAAAATAAGTTGACACATTCTGTATAGAGAACACACTTAAATATGGCATTTTTCTGCAAATTTGGTGAACAGTTTTTGTTTATTTGCTGAGTTTAACATACTGGGAGAAACATATAAATTGTGATATATCTTTTTGCAAAGAAGCAGTAATTGTGCATTAAAACTTTTCACTTAGAAAATCAACAAAACATGTCAATTGACCATATGACTGTAACAGAGATGTGGTCTTTCTGTAGGTCCTGAATTATTTTGAATTGTGTTGTGATATTGATTGTATTGCAGTACTTTCCAAATATATTACAGTCTCACAATATCAGATGATACTTAAGACAGCAATAATAAATCTAATAAAACTGTTTATACTGCCAGACCTGTTTGATCTTTTGTTTGGATTTGTTTTGTTTTGTTCTCTTAAAATGACACCAAGTTAAATCATCACACAGTATTGTAAATGTTAACCAGGCAGGAATCACATTTCCAGGAAGGGAACCTGGATTTTTAACTGTTCTTTTAAAACAATCTGACACACCAAGCAAATGATATGCAGTGCAGATAAATGTCAGGTCCTTCACAAACACCATGTGTAATATATCCGAAACAGATTCTAAATAACTAAAAATAAACATGGTAATACGGACATGTTTATATTGTGGGTGCTCATTATCTATCAACTATATTTCTGAATATATGGCAGAAATCTCTGAAACTGAAAAGCAGTGTCACAGTGTCACCCCAGTGTGGATGAAAATTCGTTTGATCTGTTTTTGCAGATCCTGTTGATGAAGCATCAAGCAGAGTGAAGCAGGAGCGAGCGAGAAAAGAGCAGCAGGAGCGGCACATTGTTAAGGTTTGACTGGCCAACATTCTGTTACAGACATGGTGCAAATATGAGCTAATTAAGACGTGATTTTCAAGCTATTCCTTTAAACTGCTTTTGTTACTGCATAGACTGATTTTGTATTTTCTTTAAAAAATACAGTCCAGTGCTTATCAAGAGGCTGTGTTGAAGCCTCGACAGGAAGCAGTGCGCAAGAAGAAAGAGGAAGACTTCTATCGTATGACTGGACAGACATGGAAGCTTAGCCAGGGTTTCACACTGGGAGAGGTAAGACACTTCTATACCATTTTCAAACACCACTTTCAAATACTTTTTTACATCCAAACACTAGAATTCTCACCACGTCCTCCTCTCTCCCACTTCATTTTCTCCTAATCCCTATCTTTCCCTGTCTTGCTCCATATGATGAAGTTTTTGCACCCCAATACCACATGTCTTCTTGGTATTCTTTTTGATATCTGTGCCTACTTCTCAGTCAATCTTCAGTGACCACCTATCAAAAAATCCAAAGCACAAATATAATTAAGAGAAAAATAAACAAAATAAAAGCTAATTAGTATAAATACAGTTGTATGTAAATGTTTGAACACTCCTGGTCAAATGACATGTTTTGGTGATTTTCTAAGTGAAAAATGTATGCATCCTCTACAGAGAACACACTTAAAAATGGCATTTTTTACACATTTTAGTGCATAATTTCTATTTATTTGCTGAGTTTAACATATTAGAAAAAACTTAAGATATAAAATGTGGCATATATTTTGCACAGGCCACATTTTGTGTTTTATTCTTTTTCCCCAATATGTTAAATTCAGCAAATAAACAGTAATTGTGCATTAAATTTGCAGAAGTGTGGTCTCTGTAGGGGTCCCCAAACTTTTGCAGATGACTGTACATACTGTAATTGGTATAATTAAAGCTAGGTCTACTTTATGGATTTATGGTTTAATAACGTTATTAGCAGATGCCACCTCGATCTCCAGCCTTAATTCTTGGAATTTCCTCCACTTATGTAGTTCCTTAATCATGCCTCATACCACAGCCAAAGACTGAAGGCATTGGTTGACTCTCTCAGAGTTACCATTATATTGTCACACTGGCATTGGAGTTTCCTACACTAATTTTATCTGTGGGTGCAGGAGGGAGAGACTGAGGCAAACACAGAGGAGGATGATAACGAGACTCCCAACCAGAAGGCAGCAAGGAGACGAAAGCAGCTAGAGACGCCACATCAAGCTCCTGTTCAGAAAGAACTCCCTAAGGAGAAAAAGGTAAAATGTTTTAATTATTATTTAGGCCTCTGGACAAAATCACCATTTTGACACTGCTATGGCTGCCCCAACCTGTAAGGTAAGGGATCAGAAGGGTGAATTCATAGGTTAATCACTTTAGTAACTTCAGTGGTGACGCTGGAGGCAAAAATAGAATTCCTGTTTTATTACTACAACCCCAATTCCAAAAAGGTTGGGAAAGTATATGAAATGCTAATAAAGTCAGGAAGCAATGAATGCAATTCTGTTTGACCTGTAATAAATTGAAAGCTGTACAAAAGCACAATATTTGATGTTTTATTTATGAACTTTATAGTTTTTTTGTAAATATACACTGATTCCAAAGGTGATGCCTGCAACATGTTCCAAGACAAGTTGTGACAGGAGCATGTATAATGCTGTGTTACATTTCTTTTTCATGGCACTTAATAATTGTTTGGGGGGACTTAAGACACATACTGATACTGTTTTGAATGCAGAATATTTTGCCAGTCTTCTGTCAAAATTTTCTATAGCTATAAAGTCTATAGCTGTGCAGTTGTACAGGGTGCTTGTAGATTTGAGCTTAATAAGACACACATTCTCAACGAGAGACAGTCCTAGGCTGCAGGAAATAATGTGAAAGGTTGACTCATCAGACCCCAGCACACATTTCTGCTGTGCATCAGTCTGTTTCAGGTGAGCTTGAACAGTCGGCAGCGCTTCTGGACACTGTTGACGTATGGCTTCCCCGTGCAAAGTACAGCATCCAAATCTGGAAGTTGTCAGTATTCCTGAGCCCATGTGGTGATATCCATCACAGAAGCATGCTGGTTTTAAATGTAGTCAAAGGTCGAAAGGGTCGAAGGACATGGGCATTCAGTTGCAGTACTCAGCTTTCTCCTTAAATACCTAAAATTCTTGCAATTTCTCGGTCTCGTTGAGGAATGTTAACTTTTTCTGTTGGATTTTTTGCTGATGCATTTTTGGCAAAAAGGGCGAGTCTCTAACCATCCTTGCTTATAATGAACTAAGCCTTTCCTGGATGCTCTTTTTATACCCAGAGATGATTGAATGAATGTTTTTTTGGAATATTTTACAAATTGCCCCTGTTTTGGAATGTGTTGCAGACATCACATTTTACTAGGTTTGTTTAAATACAGTCAAAGTAGATTTAGAAATCACTCCTTTCTCTTTTTATTTGCATTTTACCTACTCTCCCAGCTTTTTTTCTTTAGTTTGTACATGGCACATGTTTCATGAGCTTTTTTTCATTTCCTCTTCTATATGAGATCATAATCTTACCAGATGAGCCTCCAGAAAACACTGAGGGGGTGAGTGTGTTCATTCTCTATGAGCTTGCTTTGTTTAACGATGGCTATAATGAATGCCTAACTCTTCAGCTGTCCACTGTCTAACGTAAGAACTGATCTGCAGGTTTTGAGGATTGCGCTGAGATGTCCAAGTGGAAGAACATTACAAAGGAGGTTCTTCAAAACCTGCAGTTCTTCAGTAAGTACTTCATGGTTCATACTAGTCTGTTATACTAGTTGATAAAATGTTAACTTCTATAAATACAATATGCATCTGTCTGTTTAGGTTCTCTTAGACTGGTTGCACAAGTCTGGATACTCTCCCACGTTATACGCCCTGTACACCTCCTACCCTCGAATGCCCCTTCTCACACACTCAGCCCTCACTATGGAGGATGTTGGGATCGTTACGAACACTATCCTCAATGTGGAGGAAAAGGACCCTTCCACAACCTAATAATCTTCTGAATGGATTTATATGGTTTGTGCCATCTCTATTGCCAAACAGTAGATTCAGCATTTCTCCCCATGACTTTGTAAAACCACCACCTGACCTGCTCCATAACCTGCTATCTGACCTGCCATTGGACCAGACCTGCCACTAGACGTGCCAGTGGACCTGCCGCCAGACCTGACACTGGACGTGTCTCATTTGAGGCAGCCACCAGCGATCCTGCCCCCCTTTTTTGCCATGGCTACAGTGAGCAGACAGTCAGTAAAGGGAAGTGCCAGGGCATGGGGGAGCTAAGGAGTTCCACCACGCCTACAATCCAATCCTGTCAAAATAAGAGACAATTTTCTCAAAAAAAAAAAAGGTTGAGCTAGATGTCAAATTAGTTGTCAAATTGACTTGATTGTAAAACAAACAAAAACACTGCTTATTTTCATATTTTTGGCCTGAAGTGTATGAATAAAAAAAGATATTCCAGTCAAGAGTTCTTTTCCACCTAACACTTTCTTTATTTTTATTACAAATGTATCATTTTTATTATTTAATTTATTTCAATTTATTTAATTGATTTATTTTAAACATCTACAATATTGGGTTTAAAAAACACTGACCCTCAGTCTCCAAATCCACAGATATTAAGAGGAAATTATTCACAAACTGGTGGTTAATGGTTAATAGAGTTTTGTGCTAGGACTGTATACACAGTATGTTCGTTAGTATGTATTAAATCACAAAAAATCCAACGCAATACACAAAATTTGATCTAAAGAAAAGAAACAAACTTCCAGCCAGATACCCACATTACATGCCTAATAAATAAGCAAAAATCTTATCATTAGACCTGCCAACAGAATTGCCACTGGACCTGACACTGGACACACCCCTCGACCTGGTAAGCTCATGTGTGCAGTATTACACCACACTGGCTTTCTGATGATGACAAGGTCTTGCTTATGACATTTGAAACTCTTAATGGCCTTACTGTGCTGTAACAGGATGTCCAGAGATCCCTCACAGCTCACAACATTTAAATCCAGATTAGAAACGTGTTTAGACTAGCCTGGGCCGAGTACACTTCTGCTCGTTTTCTCCCATTGTTTATGTGCTGTCATTGCATCTAGAATTTAGTAAATCTGATGCTTTTATAAAGAAACAAATACGCCATTTTCATTTTATCTTTTACCTTCTGTATTTATACTGTCATTATTCCACTTTTGGGGATGTTGAGATTTCATGCTAAGACAGCAAGCTTTTGTTCAGGTGGTTGATGGCGGCCCAATATCTTAGTAAGGCACTTTTTTGTAATTTGTCATTTGTCTGTGTCTTGGATTTTAAGAAATACATGTACATATATTTTTATATTTACCGGCCATTTAGACAGATTTGGCCAGATTTGTGCCTTATCCTGAATTGTGTAGGCACTGTTGCACACTGTATCACAGTCCTGGATGGGTAAAACAAAAGCAAATGTTAGTGCAAATCTGAACGATTCCTTTAGCCTTGTGATTCATGGGCTATTTTGGCCATTTTTGAATGCTGCTGATTTTGCCTTTATATAGAACATTAAAACCTATTTATCATGCCAATGTTTGATATCCTGTTTCAGCACAACACCACCTATATGACCTGACAATTATTTTTTTCACTTTGACATTCTGCATTAACATATTGGACCCAAAAATGACATAAAACATTTATAAGCGGATTTAAAATGGATGTTTTTTGCTATAAAAAACACAAACATGATCAGTGAAGCTTTCTTTATCTGTGCTACTCCACAAAACAGTTGCTGTCAACAATGACACAGAAGGCTACGTCACAGGACTTGCATTTCCATGGTGTGAGCGTTCTTTTTTGTCCACTTGGTGGCAGCGCTGGCAGGTCCTGCGGCCTTGTGTGGCTTTCTTGCTGGCGCCTGTAAATGTGGCAACGGCTCCTGTCTTGTCCATTCCACACAGCTGAGACACCAGTTCAACCAGGAAGTTCTTGTGCATCACATGCTTGTTGTGTGTTGGTGATCTCACAGTGCAGGATGTAGGCGTTTGTTGTTGCAATGTCCACAAAGTGCAGGAACAAGGTACAACACCAGTGAGCAGTTTTGCCACAGGTGAAATAATACTGGATGAGTAGGTCTGACAGGTCAACCCCACCCATATTCTTATTATAGGCAACAATGAAGGGAGGTAGTGAATGTCTTTCACTGCCCTGTGTCCATCTCCATCCTTCACTCTCCTCTGCACTGCCTCACCAGAAATTGCTGGATGGATTGTGGAGCACACAGACAACTCTTGTGTGTCCATCCACTTCACAAAGACCAGGGTGCCCTCTCTGATCCATCTTACGGTGCCTCTTTTTGCTGTTCTGGGAAATCCTTTCCTGTTGTCCCTGCAGGTACCACAGGCTCCAAACTTCATTCTGGCCAAGTCAAGAGACAGTTTGGGACTGGTGCAGAAATTGTCTATATAAATATAGAATCCAGCCCTAAGATATGATGGCTGAAAGAGTTCCATGACAGCATCATATGACATTCCATGCATGCTGGGTTTGTGAGCTTTGTCAGTGTACACGATGAAATTAATGGCGTAGCCATTGCTTGACTCAGCCAACATAAAAAACTTGATCGCCCATTTTGCTGGTTTGTCCTTCAAATACTGGGCCATGACAGTTTTTGCCTTAGTTGCCACCATTCTCTCATCAACTGCCAGTTCCTTTCTTGGAGAGGAATAAGTCTGACAGGCATTGCAAATGTCATCAATAAGAAGCATGACTCTGAACAATTTATCGTAGTGTGGTGTTCCCTTATTCTCAACATTTTTGGCATCCTCCTCTGAATCACTGAGGTGGACGTTCTATAATAACACCCTGAATCTGTCTAGCCTTGACAGTGGCTGGAAATGACACCAGTGTCTCCAGTAGTCTTGGACACTTGGCAGTGACACCAATGCTGTGTATATGAGTAGACCAAGCAGGTACTTCTTAGCAATTTCCTTGCTTTTTTCTGTATGTTTGTTGGTGTTTTTGCAGACTGTCCTCATTGTATCGGTGGAGAAAAACAACTGAAAAAGGTTTATCAGTGAATGTGTGGTTTATGTGTTCACCTGGGCTCCGGGTGCTCTGTGGGGCATGAATCAGAATCATTCTCTGTGTTCTAGGGCTCAAAGCTGTGGTGTGGCTGGCTGAATGGGCCTGTGGAGATCTTCAGCTGGTTTGATCCTTCCTCCCACACTCCTTCCAAGTAGACCTACGTGTGCTCGTTGTTGGGGTTGTAGATGTTACCGACTGCTCATCACTGTACATGTACATGCCAATAACACAGGTAAAAGATTAAAAATTATTAAAGAAATATCTACTGATAGCTACACTGTGTATATATTACAAAGAGAGTAATAATCAAGTCAAAATCAATAGCAGACTTGCCAACGTTCACGCTTTTGGTGTGAGATGCACGCTTTTATGTCCTGTCTCACACTACCATGAAAATAACAAACTGATTTCAATACATCTTATGCCAAAAATACACCTGTTTTGGTCAATCTTTGTCAATGTTGCAGATTATCATGCCAGGTCAGCCTTGAAAGTTGGCAACTTACAATGTTCATAATAAGTTTCTCACCTAGCTTTCGTCGGTAAAAAAGATGACTCGTTAATTCCATCAACGCCACCATCACTATCCGACTCCAACAAACTGCAGATATTCTGCAGAGCTTCCTCTTCTTGACGAAAGAACATGTTCATAAGGCAAGCCATTTTAGCCTAAAATGACACGCGATAGTCATAACTCTGTTTTTACTAGTAAAAACATAATTCCAACTAGTCACAGTATAATTCTGACTTGTAATTTTTATTAGTGAAATTTATATTTATATATTTTTACTAGTCAAAACTGAATTACAAATCTCTTTAATGTAAATACAGATATCAACATACATCTTTACCAGTAACAGCTCACTGTGTAGGGTTACAGCCCTGTTACCCCGTATGCAGCAGTCTATCTTTGCACTCAATAACTGTGACGTTTGTGCACGTCTGGTGGATGAGGCAGACCTCTCGCCAACATTTAGCTCCATTTGGCAGGAGTGGGAGATACTTTGGCTTTCATGTTGATCTGTTAATTAATATAATACTGTATTTTTCATGGCTTGCAAATTTATACACCTGCTAATACATATTTAGCTCATTTGGTTACATTCAGGTCAACCAGAAGATTTTAATCTGAACTAGGCCAGAAAAAAGGACTTTGAATAGGCCTAGTTTTCACTTAAACTGGAGGAAGAATCATACTGGAGGAAATTATCAACCTCCAATAACTGATCTCAACAGTAACCTGCTGTTTATTTACACTGGCACATCCAGGCACACATAATAACAGATCACAAGTTAACCTACTTTTAAAACTATATGGTGCAGTACAACTAGGTCTGAAATCACAAATTAAACTCTGTTTTATTTCAAACTTTAGAGTCCACCATAAAAATGTCATGGCCAGTAAAGCTACTTGCTGTTATCTAGTTAAACTGGTAATAATTGTCAATCTTCAACTAATCTTCTAGGTGCTGAAATATAGTCTATGTTCGTGGAGCTCACTAATGTGACCACATTAATACTCTGTTGAACATGTCAGATTCTTCCTCTACCATTCATTCCTCTCCTTCTCGACTTCTATCTTGTGCCCACTGCTGACTTGCTGCACACATACCACCCTTTTTCCCACCTAATGTCACTCACATGAATATGCATGAAAAGCAAATCTCATATGTGTTTTTGTATTCATTAAGCCACTGGAGAGATCTGAAACTTAATTGTAAATCTCTCATACTATATTTTAAATCTCAAAAACTTTATTGAAGACATATGTGAAGATATTATGGGAAGTCTTAACTTTAATTTTTGATATCTTTAATTACCAACAGTTCTAATGTAATTCACACTGGTCAAATAATTATTGTCATAATTAAAGATATCTGTTTCTTACATATACAAAGTTAAAAAAGTAGTTATTACTAGTCAAAAGTGCTTAGTAGTTAGTAGTTATGATTGTACATTTAGATATCAATAATATTGTTCTTACTAGTCAAAAAAGAATTCTAGACATCTACAACTGCATTTCAGAGATGTAAAACTGTACAACTGTACTAGTCAAAATTAAAGTGTAGTTATCTGTAAATAGAATCTCAACTAGTGGAAATGTAGTTGTAGGTATCTGTAATTTTATACTTTGTATTTTTTACTAGTAAAAATGTGATTATAGATTCAGAAATTCAGATGACAAAAAATAACAAAGACATTACGATAAACGCCTTTATAGGCCTTTGAAACGGCGCCTCATTCATGACGTCAGTGAGCGCGAATAAGCCAATGAGCTGCTCCGCTCGCCAACCAATCAGCACTCAGTAACAGTAAAGCCAGCGTCCTGCTGCCCAAAACCTGTTTGCTGTAAAAAAATAGGGACGGTAGGTTTTTTAGTGAAATACACTCTTCTACTTTCTAAAATTAAAGGAAAGTTCTGGGTAAGTGATTATAAACTATTTTAACTTTTCATTTTTCCGTGTAGCTACATTCGCCCCCATTCGTTAAGGACTCCCTCGGGGGGCGCCGTCTGGCGCTTCGCAGTCCTGGTTTTAAATTACCGGGGGAAACAGGGAGAGGCCGGGCTCCTCATAAACCGCTCCGATACTACCTCTGTTTTTACTTGGTCTGTCTACCACTCTGTAATGAAGCGCTAGAGGGCATTCCCGAGTGAGTCTTTCGAGTAAAATTATAGTTTATAAATGCTTGAACATTTTTAATTTAAAAGAATATATTAATTTCTTGAACACAGAACAGCATAAACATTTCAACACAGCTGTGATATTTTTATATGATTTCTTTGTATTTTTTAGTGAAATACATTCTTCTACTTTCTAACTTTTCGTTTTTAGCCGTCTGTCTCCGTTCACCCCGCTTATTGAGGACTCGCTCGCGGGCGCCCTCTGCTGTTTAGCAGTCCTGCTTCGATATAACGGGAGGAAACAGGAAGTGGCCAGACTCCTCATAAACCGGCTCTAAAGAAAAAGGGAAACAGGTAAGTTTTCTTTGTTTTTTGTAGTAAAATACATCTTCTGCTTTCTAAAATGAAAGAAAAGTTCTGGGCAAGAATTTAATTTTTTTTTATGTTTAGCCATGTAGCTCCATTCATTGAGGACTCGCTCGCGGGCGCCTTCTGGCATTTTGTAGTCATGTTATTATCATAACGGAGGAAATAGGAATAGAATAAGTCTGATGTTGTCTTGGCTGCTAACTCACTCGAAATGCTGTTTTCTAGTTGATAATGCGGCCTTCTACACATTAATGGAGATCTTACATAGCTCCTCTTTGGTCTTCAGTTTCAGAAATAAGTAATGTTTCACTCTTTCCATCAGTCTGTTCAAAAAGTTTTTATAATTTACAAAAATGCGTCGGTGTATTGTAAAGTTACAGTTTCTAGGCTATGAAAGATCAACCGGGTGAACCAATTTGCTACAGCGCCACCCTGAGGCAGACCAGTGCTGTATCTCTAGTTAGTTAAGCACACCAAAGGTAAATTCGCAGATTGTAGATGAAGCAGCTAAATAATGAGCTTTCCTTGAATTTGTGTTTGTGCGTCTATTTTTCTCCTAACAGACAGCATAACGTTAAAAAAAAGTTTTTCATAACCCTCCAGAATTTTTATCTGGAGACGTTCTGTGGGTCCAAGAGGTTAAATAGGGGATCCTGAACCCCTGGGACCCTCTGTATTTCGCACCTTGAGGGTAGGTCATGCTGCCCTTATCCAAACCCCTATCCTACGTATAGTAATACAAACTAGCAGACTCATCCTGGGTCAGCAATGATATTTTCTGTATCATCACTTTGAGCTTTTGTCCCCATCGTGTGGCACCAAGATACAAGAAAGCCCTTCAGATTGTAGTAAGAAAGACAAACCACTAGAGGTCAAACTAAGATTACAATACATGGCTTCATATTTGTATCTAGCTGTCAATATAATACATCTCTTTTCTACTGAAGATGTGTTTTACATAAAGATCATTCAGCATCAAATATAACACATGATTTAGAGTAGGTTGCGATTAAAAGTACTTTATTAGTTCAAATACACCAAAGAAGAGGCAATCACTTCATGACAAATACACGGAAAAGACAGTAAACACAAAAAATGGTAAGATTAGACAAAGGGGGAACAGTTGAGTTAAGATAGGGCTTCATATACATGAAAGCATACACTCCCAAAAAGGAAGAGGCTTCTCCCTCAGATTAAGCATTCATTCCCAATAGCATAGTGTTTCTTTTTTGGTGAAGACAGGAAAGGATGTAAGCTTGTGCACTGGTATAAAATGTTACCTTATTTCACATGCCTGGCATTGCCAACTTAAAGTACATCATTTTGTCCAGTGATACCGAAGGGGGGAAAAGCTAAATATCACTTTTTTGCTCAGAGTAATGTACAATTCAAGAACAAAGAGAACATTACTATCCATAGTATACAGCAGGCAATTGCACTATAGGCTAAACGGGACACTGTGTAGCAGTACTGAGACACAGGGCAATTTGTATTTCTGCATTAAATGCTTGTATGGCACATTTTGGTCCATGTTAGTGCTTTCATGTCATGTCGTAACACATCCCCATATATATACACGCGGTGGGATGAATATGTATATATGTCGGGATTTGTTGTTGTTTTGTTGTTTGCTTTAGAGGTCGTGTTCCTACATCAGGCCAGTGTGTGTGTTTATAAGAAGTAATCAGGGGTGCGGCGGGTGACGTGGGGCTCTCCGCGCCGAGGTGCAGGATCAAACTGAAGGCTGTGGAAGAAGACAACGGTGAGAATGGCTAACAGCAAATTGTAGCTGCACACACCAACATATTTCATGTCACTTGCCAGCATTTGCTTGTGCAAAATTCATTCAAAACTTTCAAAGATCCAATGGCTGAAACAGCACCACAGTGGCACCGGGAGTCGCTCTAAACTACTAGAGAGCATGATAAATGTTTCAAAAGCCACAACCACTTTTGTTCTTTGAGATTAGAGATATTTTAGACTACTGTTAGCCAAGATTCCTGATTTATCTTATGAGAATGCAGATTACAAAACAGCAGCCATCAAAAATTAATACTTACAAGGAATATTTAAGAGTATCATCCAGTTCCATTATGGCAGCCTGGTTGCCACAGCGATAGCAGTAGTTTGGCGCACTGAATATGGTGACAACATTTCTATCATGACACCAGTTGTATCCCTAATGGGGGAGAAAAAAAGTTTCATTGTTGACATGTACTTTAACATCTCAAACCATAAAATAAAAATGCATGTAATGTTTTCTTTCTCCTAAATTAGTCTTAGATATGAATTCAATATCTCACCTCCATGACAAGTTGATGGGCACGAGAGACCAGAGTAAGACCATTGGCATGGTTGAAAGTTTCAGAAATGTCTTGTCCAAAAGTGTAACCAGCACCCCTAGGAGAGATCCCCCAGCCTCCACGGTCATCGGGATCTGACCACAGCAGATCGCACATGGGGCCCTGAAATGGACCAACGACGGTGTTAATTACAATCCTTTTTTATTTTAGCATTGCTTTGGGTCAACAGAGAAGTACGTCATGTTGACAAATTTAATTCAGTGTCAGCACTAACCTCATGAGGCACCTCCTGGAGACGATCTAGAGCACGAATGTGATCCAGTGTGTCTATTGATGGAGACAACCCACCATGGAGACAGAAGATCTGAACAAGAAAAGAAAATATTAGCTTTCAAATAGTTCAACTTCAGTTAATAAAAGCCAGACAAAACATCAGCTAAACTTGTCTTGGAATTCTGTAGAAATTGTGAAAGTTAAATAAGGAGAATGGCTACATGGCTTCACCTGTCCATCAACCAGGGCTGTGAGGGGTAGGTAGTCAAAGAGGTCTGTGAAGTACTTCCAGACGTTTGCGTTGCCGTATTTCCTCAAACACTCATCATAGAATCCATACACCTGTGTAATCTGTCTGCTCTCATGATTGCCACGCAATATTGTGATGCGCTCAGGAAAACGGACCTGTTGAAGACACAGTGCATTATTGTGAGCAATACTTAACTAGTAAACTCAACTGAGCTGACCAAAGCAAAAGCAAAGATGACCTGATGTTTAAAGGTAAAGCGTAACTTTCCTACAAGATCTGAATAATCTACTTGATTTCTTGCTCACTACAACTCTACTGTTTATTATTTTACCTTAAGCGCGACAAGAAGTGTAACCGTTTCCACGGAGTAGTAGCCTCTGTCTACATAGTCGCCCATAAACAGGTAGTTGGTGTCAGGCGACTTCCCTCCAATTCTGAACAGCTCCATGAGGTCATGGAACTGCCCATGCACATCGCCACAGACTGTGACGGGGCAGCGCACCTCCTGCACATTTGACTCCTTAGTTAGGATCTCTTTAGCCTGCGTGGATATCAGAAAACAGCATCAGTTAGTCATTTGGAAAAACTTAATGAACAACTTGCTCTGAGATTTAGTAAACCATTAGTATTTCAATGAAAAAAAAGTCTAAATCACAGGTTTTAGTATTTAAATGTTTTAAGATTTAATTATATTAACCACTTGTGTTTACTTCTCAAGGCCACTGCAGTCTGTATAATCTAGCCTACATGTGGTTATAGCTGTAACTAACCTGGATAAATAGCCAAATAAAAATTGCTAAATAATTGTATGTGCTAAGAAGGTTCAATAACAGGTAAGTTTAAATACAGAGAAAGAGAGATCATAAAAGTTTGAAGCATGCCTAATCGGTGTATATATGAATCAAAGATCTTGTTTCCAAAACACAGCCTCTACTGTCCACAGCGCAGTAACGAAGGCAAATACAGCGCATGATCAATTCAAATCAGCCACTGACTATAAATAGGCCCAGCGTTTTTGTTCTTTTTTCTTTCATGGTTAATGTGTTAATTTTTAAACAAGAGTGAAATAAAACGATCAAAACACACAAGTCGGAAACTCTGCCCCTCTGCCTGTTCTTGAGCCTAAATGACCTTTGTAAAACTCTGAAATCAAATCAATATCAGCTGTAAGTACTACCCCCGGTATCACCATGGAGACAATGAGAGCGTTTCCATGGAGACCTCTTCTCTGCAGTCCCATTCCTCTTTAGCACAGTAGGGGGACTATGTAGATTACTGTCTTTTCCCTTTCATTTAACATAGTAAACAGGACATTACATTGCCCTCTTGATCGGGTGCCATAGACAGGAGTAAGCTTGGCCCAAGAGAACCACTCTGCACAGTAAGGTCTAAGTATGCACCTTCCCTTTCCTCAACAAGGCCCAAACAGACATGATCAAGAGCACAAATATCCTTACAAGCAAGTTTGGAAATTATTCCTGTAAAACTACAACAAATCATCAATGTACAAAACCTAAAGCAGATACACACAGACACAGTCTGACGTCTGTTCAGAGTTCTTTGAGTACTGGATACAGGATTTAGCTACTGAACCTTTCTGACCAAAACAGAACAAAGTAGAAGTGGACAATATTATATTTTCATGACACTCAAGTGTAATACATTTATTAGCTTGCAGACTGGGCCTTCAAAATATACGTTATCATTAATATGACAGTGTACCTTAGCTACTATTTATATAAGAAATAGTCTGCATACAAAGACTCAGCAGTATCAGATGATACGCTTGCAAAAAGCACTTTAAGTCAAAAAAATCTGATGGTATTGCCCTCTTTAAATGTTATGTACGTAGGCCATGTTTGTGGCCTGAATAGTGATGTTTTTAACTCAACAAAGTGCTTGTTTTGCTATGATACAGACTGAATACTGCACCTTTTTCCCCTTACCAAGTCTTCCTTGATTTTTTTTAGTTGCACCTCACTTATAACAGGTTGAAGCACCTCCTTCTAGTCTGTTTTAATTTTGAATGTTACTCTTATTTGCGTTTGATAACTAGTACTTTTACTAATTGTATCTGGCCACAAAGTCCATATTGGAACGTGCAAGTATCAAAACAGCTGATGCAAGAAGATAATAGCGCTATAAACCAGCATCAAAGTACTGTAGCTAATTATCAACCTCAACTCAGCTCCCAGGACTGTTCCTGCTGAGAGTATAGAAATGTGACAAGCCCAGCAACAACTCACTGTCTTGGAATGACTTCATCATATTACACCTTCAGTAATCAGGTGGAAGATTAACTCGGTATTGATTCAGTCACGGATAACGTAATCACTCTATACCAAATTCAACCCCTAGTCTAGATTAAATAACAACAATAACAACAACCTTAAAAACAAAGAGCCTAGTAGGTGTATAACTTAACTAACATCATGTTGAGACAGCTATCGGATGTTAGCTAGCAAACCGCGACAGTAACAGTTTAAGACGAATAAAACGTGTGAATGTGAAACATAAAATATGGAGCCGTTAGTTTTAAGTTAAAAAAATAAAAGTTAAGTAAAAAAAAGACACCTAAGCAACACATGGATGAACACATAAAATAACCTATACGATACGTATATAACCTATATAGTAAAAAAATATATAAACCCACAAAATTCGGACTTCTAACCGTCAAAACAAACCATTTATGTAGCCAAATATGACAGCTAATATTATATTTAGTGCTCCTGTGTGCTATTCTGACCTGAAATAACAAGCGAGGCAACTGCGCTGTTTAGCTAGCTAGCTGGCTGTTAGCCTAACGTTAACTAAAACCCTCAGATACACAGCTATAAGCTACAGCAGCTAACGTTAACTTTAGCCAGTCGTGTTCACAGAAATGGAATGAAATCCGATGATTATTCGAAACCGGCCGACATTACATCGCGATATTGATTTTAAATCTTTAATTAAAAGGCATCAGCCGTATCGTACAGCTAGCTAGTTAGCAGATTAGCGACTGTAACGTACCTTCTCGCACAGAGTCCGCACTTGGTTCTCCGTGAGCTGCTTGCATTCGTTCAGCTGTTCGACCCACTGGTCTAATTCTTTAGTGAAGGCTTTATCATCCATTCCGAGCTCGTCTTGAAAGGTAAAACGGACTCTTCCCTATGGCTTTTAGAGGCTGGACGTTAGTTTTGTGATTCAGCAGCGTTTGCTAATATCCCCCTCCGGACCGGTGCTGCTATTTGCGTCTAGCCCCTCCGCTCGCTGACCAGCCAGCTAGATTTTCGCTTAGCGGTACAGGCGGCCGCTCCAGCTAGCTTAGCGGACCGAAACTGTTTTTTTCCGGTATTATTTAATTAACGTGTCGAAGTGGGTTGGTTACAGCTGTGAAACAGACGACTCAGAGCGTTCATCCGTCTCTACGGTTTCCGATGACGGTGTACTGATCGAGGACGCCTCGAAGGGACCAGCACGTTGTCGTTGGTCTATTTTGGTGGCTCGCCGCTCCACCGACCTTCCCCGGGAAACCCGCTGTGTAATGGCCGCTCTGCGTTTGCCTCATATCAGCGTCATCGCAAAGGCATTCGCGGAGGAAACGCGTCGCTTCGGCTGAGTATTCGGTGCAAATGTTGTGCTGCCCTCCAGCGGACAAGAGGACTAAAGAGGTCTCTTAACCACGGTTGACCAGTCCGCTTATTATAAGCGATTTTGGGTTTGTTTTTCTATAAATTCGCTTACAAATATTGTTCTTTGGGCTTGTTTCTGAAGTGTAGCTGATCCTGTCTCTGTCCACTTTACCCTTTCTAAAACAAATCCGAATTGCGCCATTGATGGTCTTTAAAAAAATAGAGTTTCTTTACTTTGATGATATATATATATATATATACATACAAACACATATATATATATATATATATATATATATATATATATATATATATATATATATATATATAGTGAAAATATCAAGATATTTTTTGCTATATTGTCCCCTCCTATTTGAATACCTGCTTAAGTAAACAGATGTGTTTAAATAACCATGTAAATCCCCAGAACTCAATACATATCACAACCCAGGACAGCAGCATGGGTGTAACTGCATTATGTATTATTTACTTTATGCAATTAAAGTTGTTCTTTTTTTTCCTTCATTTTTCTTTTAGACCTCAGTGACTTTAAGAGTATTCGTGCCTTGGAGGAAATCAGCACTTTTCAACTCCAACTTTGCATTGCTAAGCTTCAGAGAGGAGGTTTTCCCAAACCTCTGCCCAGTCCACCATCAGCACAGCGCAACATTAACTGGATTGAGCCTCAGGTTAGTTAGTGAATGCCCTGTGTGTGTGTGTGTGTATGTGTAACGAACTCTTCACAGTAAAGAAGCACTATTTTTTATAGACCATCAATATATATATATATATATATATATATATATATATATATATATATATATATATATATGTATATATATATATATATATATATATTTTAAGCCAGGCCTGCTTGCTTGTTTCTCAGTTTGTGTTGTGCTAATATTTCACACATAGATGTCGGTGTACTGTTAGACTGATGCCAATATTTCATATTTAGAAAGGAGCAATTTCGTTTGTTTCATTATTCTGTTTATGGATACACTTTAGCTGCCAATTAGGTAAAAGCTAGATACTCTATATAGGGTCCACACACAACACAACAACACATAACATATATAGCAAGACAAATGTAACATGTCTAAAAAAAAAACAAATTCAAAAAAATAAACATCACAACACTAAACTGCATTTCATAGTGGTTGTCCAGATTGGTTAATTACTGTTAGGGTTATTGTTAATGTATTTTTAGACGTTTTTTAAAAACTTGCCTTGTTGGGTGCTTCTGTGATTATAACTGGTAACTTGTTCCACACTGTGATGGCCTTATACATTACAGACCTGCACACTGCATCTGTTCTGGGTTTTGGTTTCGCGAGCTAACACCTAGTAGTCTGCCTGGTAGTGTAACTATGTTGATCTCTCACACAATTTATTCATGAATACAGAGAATTTGGTTGTTACTCCTAAAGGGTTGCATGCCAACCTCTTCTCTACTCTGAGCCATGAGAGACTGGCATGCACTCTCTCTGCACTCTGGACCTAATTTTGTTACTTGAAGAGGAACCTTATCTATCAGTCTATCTTTTTTCTCTATAGCTTTTGTTTTTCTTTCTGTTTAGCTTCGCTTTCCAGTGCTCTGTTTGTAATACAGTACTGTGCTAATGTCTCTTCATTTATTTAAATTCCAGTCGAAACGAACATTAAGGACATGCTATGCATTTTTCAGCATCTTTTGCATAGTACTGTATTTGCCTACAGTGAGAGCTAATTAAAAAATCATACTTTTCATCATGAGGACAGCAATTTACTTTTAAATTTTAGTTAATAAAGGGGAATTCATCGCAGTGGTGGTGATAGTCACCAGATGTCTACAATGCAAATCTAGCCATTTCATTTACTACCCAAAATGTCACGTGTCCTCTGAGATTATATGTATTATGTTAAAATAGTGGCAAACTTTAAAAAAAATCTTTGGGGACTTTATTGCCTTATAACACCCTGCATATTCCTCTCCACCATAAATGTGTTTGAAACATATGTTTTAGGCCAAACCTTATCTTAAAACTATCATATAACAACTTCTGAGCATCAGGCTCATATTCAGAACTATCTACTTGTAATAACTATCTGTGATGTAGCTTTTAGAAGCATTAGCCTGGTTTCTGTCCACCACTGTGAACAGGTTTGAATTTGTAAATGAACTGTGACTGAACTTTACAAGGTTTAACAAAACTGGGTGAAGTCCCCTTTAACATTAAGGTACTAACTCCTTTTTTTGCATTTAATATATTTCTATTTTGTTGGAGACAGAACCTGGACTGCTTTGCTACACATTTTCGCATTTTATTTTAGACTGAGAATGCATCATAAAGAGGACAAGCCAAACAAACTTCAGTTCCTGTTCTAAAAGATGCTGGATGCACTAAGAAGTTCTACTGCAGTTCTCTGGGAAGCTCAGTGCTTTGTTTTTACGTAAGTAGTCAAATTAAGTCAGTATTTCTTAGTAAGTATTGTTTTTTGTACTGTCGGTTGTTCTTTGAAAAGGTACTTGAGGTCACTTGGGTCACTGAAGTAACAATACTTTAATACTTATACTGGAGTAAGGGGTTAGGCTACCCACATCTGATACCAATGGCATACTTTTTTTCCAGAATGTCCATTTACACATTGAGAAATAAGAGATTTAGCCGTCTGTGACCCTAAATGGGAGGTAAGTGTTGATTCATGTGTTGGTAATTGATGGATCATTTCATTCCTCACATCAAACATATCAGAATTATAATAAGAATAAATATCTCATGTATTCAGAATCTGAAGAGTTTAACACAATGTCACAAAATGTTATTACATAAAATATTTATGAATACACTGCCTAATCCTGGATACATTGTTTTATGATTGAAAAATGGTTTGAAACAAGATTTTATCCTAAACACCAAATTACTTTTTTTTACATTTCAATTCCCTTTTAAGATGAGCTTCACCCCAAATATCTGGTCCAGCACTGTATGCCATCTCTAGTGCATGTCTTTAACAAAATGTCCTGAAGGAATGATCAGGAAGTGCAATCTGTGATACTCATAAATGTATAAATGATTTAATGTAAGATGCACCACATTATAAATATAAAAAAATAGCAGACTTAACATCTTAGGTTGCAGAAGTATTTGAAAGTCCATTCTTAGTGATCTAACCACTCTCTTAAATAAAGTTCCTATACTGGACCCCATGTCCCTGTAGCAATGGCCTGTCAGTGAGAGTTCCTTTCACCGGAAGACCTGTGTTCATCTGGGGGGACGGTCGGACACACACATAGCAGTTTAAACACCCACAGTAATAATGAGAATAATAAAATAATAAAAAGGATCCAATGTCTTCATAGGTACATATCTTTGACCACCTGTTTTGAAGCTATGTCACAGAAAATGCATTTTTGCCATTAAAAATGTATTAACAATTTAATGTTAAGATGCACTGCATTATAAATACAAAAGGAAGCAAACGTAACATCTCTTTACAAGCTTATTATTTTACAATATAAATAGACATACTGTGTTATATTCTATTTACATGAATTCGAAAAAACAAATAATGCACAACAAGACAAGAAAACATTCAACAGGAGAAGGATGTGAGTAACAACCTAAGAAGAGAGTCCAGAATTTTCTGGAATCTCTATTTAAGAATATGCCTATTTTATAAAAAGGAAATTAGTAAAAGTGTATTTGTATATTACAGTCTGATAACAGTAGCAGATACCATATGCGACCTCTAAACTGGGTGGGGATGGTATCGAGCTTCGGTATGAAGGGCTGGTCCAGGCAGAGGCACAGAGGGGGCCGCAGTGGAGTATGTTCGCCCGTTAAAAAGAAAGTAAGGATAGTTTATTGGTGTCGAGATCTCATGTGGTGGGACCTGGTTTGAAGTGTTTGAGAATGGTAACAGTGACAGAGGTGGAGGTACTACAGAACTTGTTGGAAAAGAATAAGGCTGTAACAGGGGCACATTGGCGTCACTCGCTTGCTCTTTTCGATGTTCAGCATGATGAGATGCACCGGTCGTCGGCTGATGGCTGATTCTCTCAACAGCCCTGGGATTTACCATAAAGGGTGAAGGCCATTGTTGCTGTCTGACTGCATGGCTGTTCTGGATGTCTGTTCTTGGTTCTGCACATGGTACAGTTGCCCTCCTCTTTGACAAAAGCAGAGCCCTTATTTCAGGGTGTGATTTTGAGGTCTGGCCTACACCTGGTGGGTTCCAGTCCCAAGCAGTTCCAGGCATCTTCCAGTGCACTGCACTGCTTTGCTGAGGGAAGGCAGTGAAAGGAGATGATTTTCCAAGCTGGGCTGGCAGAATGGGCTGAATGTGTGGGGTAACACCACCATCGTTCAAGTTATATCCCAGGGGTGGATGACTTGCCCTGAAGATGACAAAGAATAAGTGTTATAACTGTTGAGTGACTCAAGAGAAATGTGAATCACTTCTCAGTCTCATATTGCCACCATTACAACAGTGTAGTTTATAAATAATTTTATAGTCATTGGATTGTGACATTGTTTGTTGTTTTGTCCCAACCCAGCTCCTGGAGGCACCCCTGCCCTGCACATTTTAGTGTTTTCCCTGATCAGACATAACCACTGCAACCCAGGACAAGCCTGTTAATGTGCTGGGCTGGGTTTCCTGAAAGCAACTTAGTATATAGATGATTCTTAGATGGAGAAACAAGCATCACAGTGAATATTCTCTCTACCAGTTCACATCAAACTAAGGTGCTTTTGGGATACTGGGCACTGATTAGTTGCATCAGGTGTGTTAAAAGTATTAAAACTTGCAAAGCAGAACCAGGATTGGGAGCCACTGCTTTAGCAAACTGACTGTTACTAAAATAAATCAATGAGTGAAAATGAAGACTGACATGTTTACTTTAAGGGTATTTACCTCTATATTAGGTAAAGTCAGTTTTACACAGTTTTATCCCATTTCAGCAGATCATTTAGTAATGTAAAATACTACAAGAGCGCAGGAAACAACTAGCCAATCGGATTGCAGGATTAAAGTGGCAAATCAGAGCACAGGATACAAGAAACCAATTAGGTTGCAGGATTTAAGGAGTAGCCATGCAGAATGCACTCTTTTCAGAGGATAAGGGCCTGTCACAAAAGGTGCCCTAAGCCCTGCAGTCTTTCTTCAAGTCCACCTTAAGGGCGCTAGGTTTAAAGTGTGTGTTTCAGAACAGACTTCTGTGATGTACAATGCCATATCTGACAAGTTAATCAGGGCTACAAAATAGACTAACCAAGTCAATATCGTGACTTGAACCCTACTGAATGCAGAAAGTGCCCTGAAATAAGCAGGAGCATCAAAATGGCTGTAGTATGGGCTTGGCAGAGCATCATCAAGGACACCAATTGTTACCCAATACAAGATTATGTTTGTGATTGTTAGTTATAGTTTATGTTTCGTGTCAGATCTAAAGTGCTGGTATACAGAGCCAAAACTGTCCTATTACTTAGAGATTAGCACCATATTTGATTGTATATAAAAAAAATCTTCATAATTGCTGTGTAAAAGCATAAAAAATGGGCAAGATAGTACAATGCAAGTTTCAGGACTACATTAGCCCCTACATTTGTACTTCAATCATTCTAGGGCCTAATTTTAGATGTTTTCTTACCTTCTTCTGGCTGGTTGATAGGTTTCTTTCACTCCGTCTTCAGTTTGAAGATCCTAAATCATGGCAAAAACAACAGTTTAAAACTACGTTTTATTGCTAAAATTCATCCATCACAAAGTTTTATAACTTTGAGTTAATTCTCAAATCTTACCAGCGCACTCTGTGTCCTCTCAGTAGAGATCCCTGGCTGTATGCTCCTGTAATTCCTGACACCATCTATTTGTTGCTGTGCTGCGATTCGTGCTGTTTCCACAGGCTGCTCCATTTTGTTAACCAATGCCACACCAGCCTCCGTCACTCCATAGACAATCTGTGGGTTTGACCTTTTGTATTGGCGCAGCACTTCGTTTGATATTCCGTGCTCCGATTCTCTCCACACAAGAAGCTTAGATGCGTCGTAAAGAAGATGCTCCAAGCCAAACCATGACACTTTACTAATCTCTTCGTGGGATTTCATAAAGATGACTTTTTCTTGGAGATATCGGCATATAATGGAAAGATGCTCAGCTTTCCCTACGTCAAATGTCCCTGGCAACCGATCTGAGGGTGTCTCAACAAAAGTCATCACGATGCTATGTGCCTTTTCCAAGCTTTCCAAGCTGTCTCCAAAGTTCATCATGAGAGCTACTGGTACAGATAAAAAGAAGCTCTTAATATCGGGGGGATTTCTGAGTGCAGCTTCTATTTCAAGTCTCTCTCGTTTGCTCTTCAAGTACATGTAGTATGATGTGTCAGGGGCATCTTGGAGCTGCTGGTGCAGTGTGGAGACTGCAGCGTAGTACTCCTGCAACTTGCTGTAACCTTCGCTGCCAAGGCACTGTTGGAATGATGAAAACAGTGACGACTGTTGCTGAAACCCAACAGCCCCCTTGTAGAGTTCACCATAGAGAGAAGGATCGTACCAAAGCAAACTCCTGAAAGTTGGTTTTCTGCTCAGAAAGTTCATTTTGTTTTCCACAAACTGAGAGGCTTCCAGCATCATTTGCAGCTCCAAGAAAGAATTCAAGCCCTCGAATTTTAGCTCCACTGGCACAGGTGGGTGGTCTAGATATTTTTCCAAGATTAGATTCCTTGAAATACAGGACTCGTTGAAAAAAACCTTGTGATCTCGTTCAAAGTTTAAGACGAAATGTTGCAGCATGGCTTTGCACTTCAACTGCAGAGAGCTGAGCTCTGCCACAGAAACTGCATGGTCAGCTAACTTCAGAGTGCTTGAGATGTCCGTGACACTGTACTCCTTCTGGATACATGTGTGTACTTTCTTGTCATAAAGGGTTTGTTTATTGACTTTAGTTGCTTTCTCAGCTGACTGTTTTACTTGAGATTGCTGTGGACTTGATCCATGTAGGTTTTCTGAGCTTTGGGAATGGGCAATCTGATTTTGATGCACTGCATTTCCATGATTTTGCATCCATTGCTGCATGGTGGTTATGCTGGTGGAAATCTGCGATTGATCCGGGTCTTTGTTTACTACAAGAAGTGAAGGAGAATCCCTTTGGGCTGTTTCCAGCATGCTGGTACTATCTGGACTAACCCTCGTCAGTTTGCTCCTTCTTGTCCTTTTTGGTGTATAACTTTTGGGTTGGTTGCAGCCTTTGCGTTTGGTAAGGGCTACTGAGACATTGGCGGTTTCATCTTGAACATTGGCCCTTCCAGTGACCTCCTCATTTGTTATTGAGGGCAACATGTAGTTAGTGGAATGGTCTTTTTTGTTTGAAAAGAGGTCACTCCGTTGATGTCTGAGATTAGCCAAATCCAGTCTGTTGTAGTGTCTTGCGTCAAATAACTGCTGTTTATGGACAGTGCTATCTAAAGTTATCCAAGCCATTGGCACCTGACCATCCTTTACTGGGTCATTCACATTTACTGATTCCTGTCTCTTGACAGTGCATTCAAATTTGGTCAAATAATCTCTTAGTTTAGAAATGAGCTGGGTTTCTGTGCTGGTGCTAGGAAGATTATTTTTGTCTTGTCCTTGCCAGGCTGAATGCAGATTGCCCGTCATTGCAACAATGCCTGCTTCTTTTGCATCTCTAATGACTTTGTTGTGCAAATCTGCTGTAGTCTCCACATGTGAGTTGATTATCCCACTGCTTTTCGTATGCTTTACAAGAGGTTTTGACCTTGAAGCTGGCTCAGAAGGATGATCTGTGTTGTCATGACATGAGATAAAATCATTTTTGGCACTTTTCACTGATGTCTCCGCTCTTGAAAACAATTCGGCATTTGCGTCAGTCCTGTTTGCAAGACTGCACGGATCACTGTTTTGAATGTTGCCATTGGCCTCCATCGCTCTTGTTTTTCTGGTACTTGATACATTAGTTGTGAGATCTACAACTGATTTGATTACACCACTCCTGGCACTGTCCACAGCACTGTCATAAAGAGTCTGTGTCTCTGTCACTGTCTCTCTGTCTGCCTCATCATTATTCATTAATCTGGGTAAATCTGGAGTCATAGCTGTCCGGGCTTTGGCAGTGCAGGCGGTGATCGTATTACCTGAGGTTATATCGTTAGGGATACTTGAGACTGCCTGAACAGGGTTACTCTTGTCCTCATAAGCTCCAGCATTGTAATCAGTGGATATCTCTTCTGTGTCACACTTCTCCTTCCCTACTTCCTTTGCGTTGGCCTGTGGTAGGTTTTTCTGAGATGCGGCCTCTTCCTTGTGTTTTTCTTTTGCAATCTCACCATCGTTGTTTGACTCATTGTCACCAGGACATGTGACCGGGGAAGATTTTTCCTGATGACAGATGCTGCTGTTGTTTGTTCCTCTTTCTGGTTCTTTTATGTCTAAAGGAATGTCTCCCTGTGATTTCTTGATATCACAGTTGCTTGAAATCCTCGAAAGAGTCTCACAGACTTCTGTCGGTTGTTCTTTGGATTGAGAGATGTGCACAAACTCATTATCATGACTTGACTTATTTTCGCCAACAGATGTATTTAGACAAGAGTGATCTTCAGTTGAAACGCTTGTAATAGTATCCTGACTGGTCTCAAGTTGGTTGTGACTTTGAGGGCCAGAAGATTGAGATGCTGCACCCGAGTTAAGGTGTGAATCGGAAACTTCATAATTATCAGGTGTCTCAGTAGTATGTGGTGCGCAAGTTGATGGATTTAAAGTTGATTTGCTAGACAAAATGTGATGCTGGGAAACCAGTTTTGTCTTCCGTTTTTTCATCGCTTTCCGCAAGTGTCTTTTCCTGAGATGCAGTGCCCTCCTTAGAAAATGGGCTGGTGATTGAGATGAATGTTTTAAAGACCATACACTGGAAGTTGCCTTTCTCCTGCTTAACACCTTTGAGCGTTTCCTTCTAAGGTGTCTGCAGTTGGCCAGTGACCTAGTCTCATTGAACCTCTGTGCCAACAGTTGAATCAATTTAATGTTTTTACTTTCAGTTTCTTTTTCTCCATCACTGCTTGAAGATAGACCTTCTGGATTAGACTTCACATCACCAGCGGAATAAACTGTGTTGCTGTTGGGTTTCTTGTGAACACAGACTGCTAGCTTCTTTTGAAGGCCTCTCAATTGTGAGAATCGTTCAGAAAGAGTAAGCCTTTCTGTTGTAGCAGATACCTGATTGGACCTCTTCATCACGATGTGCTGGAGGTCTCCACACTCCTGGTTCTGTATCTCAGCTTTGTTGCTGTCTTCCTTCAGTACTGTTTCATTAAGATGACCGTATAGTTGACCGATGCAAGGGATTTTGTCTAGATCTTTAGGCCGGAGGTAAGATTTGTTGGAGAAAGTGTTTGCTCCATTTAAATTTGGCAGCAGCTGACCCAGCTGTAATCTCTTGTATAATGCACTGTGAATAGTGTTGTCTTGTCGTAATTCTCCCCTCTTAACCTCTATGGACATCTCAGAGCTGTCACCAGATTCAGAATGGGTCAGTGGTTCCCTGTCTTCATTTTTAGTGCTCCTTTGACTATTCTGATCTGGCCCCATTCCAGTAGCAGAGGGAAGATCATTACTTTCTGAGATGTCAACACAGTTTGCCACATCCATGGCTGTGATGTTGTGGAATTCCGGATTTTCTTCCATGTTATTACTTAGTGTAGATTCACTTGGAATTGTGGAACTTTTCCTTTCACTGACATCTTGGGGATTTACATTGACTTGCTCTGAAGGACAGCTTGGACACAAAGGTTGTTCAAAATCTGCTGCGCTTTCTATGGCTTCTCTCTTCTGTGAAGTATTTAACAGCAAGGCACCATGCTCAAGGGACTGCTCTGAAGCACTGGGTTCTCCTTCAGATTGAACCACACTTCCATCTGGAGGCTCTGCTAAGTATTCAGGACAATCTGGTGGATAACCTTTTTCCTTCAAGGTTTTTGCTGTTGATTCAGTACCATTATGTAGTACCTTTTCGTTGGCTGTGTTGAACACGTCTACTTTAGGACTTTCAGTAATTAGCAAATCTGTGGTGGGGGTCAAATTAGAAACCTCAGAGCTTATTGAATGTCTCACTGTGCTATCTTGTGATATTAAAGGAGACTTGTTCAGTGTGGACAGACATGTTTCGTTGTTTTTAGGCTCCATATTAGACAAACCCAATACATTTTCTGTCTCAGTGTCTTTCTGAAAGAGCAGTCCTTGTTTATATTTCTGGTAGTACACCTCATAGAAATGTACACGGTCAATCAGTGATCGTTTTTGCTCTGGTGTCAGGTCTTCTTTGGACCATATAACTTTGTGTCTCCCCTCCTCTGACATCCTTAAATATGCAGCATATTTCTGAAACTTCATTTTGAATAGCTTAATTGAAGGCATATTTTCAGTTGTTGGCCGTGGATTTGAATCAGGTTCTGGCAGATCATCTTGTGGGAGTTTGAGGCAACAGCCCCCACTCTGCTCCTCAGCCATGTCCAGTGACTGTTTCTCACATGATACAGTTCTAGTGAATTCGTTCTTCCTTTCTTTGTTTTGCGGGTGTGGCTGTTCATCACACTCTGAGACACTGCTTTCTGTCTCTTGTTCTGAGCTTTTCTTTTCTGTATTTGTCTCTTGTCTGGACAACCTTGGGTCCTTGACCAATCGAGAGGAATAGACAATGGTGGAAATTTTTTCTGTTGATGTTTGAGGTGTTACACCACTATTTTCTGTGTTGCCTCCATAAACGCTTGTGGTTGGAGGAAATGTGGATTCGTCTGGATAGTTCTGGAAGGGAACACTGTTCTGAAAAGGAATGCTATCAACATAGGGTAGTGACGGACTGAAATATCCAGCTGTGTGAAAAAGTGGCATATATAGCTGTGAAGGAAAGAAAAGAAGAGGGTTTTGCAGTTCATTATATTGAATCGGAGGATCTACTCCATGAGTTGGGGATGTGTAATCTGGCCCTGGGCAGCCTTGTGTGGCAAAATGTTTGAATGTCACTGTTGCATTCTCTCCTTTTCCTCTTCTCTTAGCCACAGTGCATCCTCTCAAACGTTCCAGAGGGCCTGCCAGGGTGGATCGAAAAAAAAACGTGTTACATTCAAGATGCGTCATCACAGTTGAATATACAAATGAAAGAATTCTTGTTTAATATATGAGAGAATTCGTATCTGCTATAGAGTTGCCACCTCAGCCCTGTAACACTCCTGGACATTCAGCCAGTGGCTTAATTTTTAACCGAATCAGTGGATGAGTAGCCATGCTTCCGATGCAGTCTAAAGTAGACAGATGTCAGTTCAACCTAATCCTCTCAGTTACCATGTTGGAGTGCTGCCTATTGTCTAAATGTGTCAAAAAACAGGGCTTTTTTCCAAAACAGTTGTCCCTGTGTTGAGGATAATCTAATCAAACCCATTCTTTGTATGCAAATAGTTTCATTTGATAAAAAGAAACATAAGAAATGCTTAGAATCCAGGACATTTTGTGTCCCAGAATGGAATTCAGAAATGGGATTCTAAAATCCAGCATAATCCAGGAGAATCCAAGATGGGTGGCAACCTTTCTGGCTAGTTTATTAAGTCTATTATACAAGCCTCAATTATAAAAAACTTGGGCCAGTATTTGAAATGCAAAGACAGAAAGCAGAGATTCAAAAATCCACCATGACCTGTACTTGAATGAAAACTGTACAAAGATATGTAATGTTTTACCTTCCCAACTTCTTTGTTATTTGTAAATATATTTTCATTCTGAAACTAATGTCACATTGCAAAAAAGATGGGACGTGGGCAATTTAAGGCAAGAAATGCAGTGAAATGTTCAAAAAACATCTTGAACAGGTGATGCAATCGTTCTTGGGTGTAGAAGGAGCATCCAGGAGTGACCAAGTACTTTTTGAGTGAGGGTGGTTTGCCACAAATTAATCAGCAACAATCCAATAGTTTAAGAATAATGTTCCTCAGCTAGCAACTGCAATAATTTTAGGTATTTCATTCCCTACAGTGCATAATAACATCAAAAGTTTCAGGGAATCTGGAGAAATCTCTGTGTGTAAAAGGTAAGGCTGAAAACCACAACTAATTGCCCATGACCTTCAACTCCTCAGACAGCACTGCTTTAAAAAACCGACATGCTTCTCTGATGGATATCACAGAAATGCTTCCAACTCCAGAAACGTCCAGAAACACTGCTGACCCGAAATGCTCCCATTCATGGAAATAATCTTTTTCAGGGACATCCATCCTTATTTGTACATGACAACACCAAGTCAAATTCTGCAGTGCGTAATCAGAGAGCCTGCAGTCCAGAACTGTCTCCAACTGAAAACGTAGGCAAAACATAACAATGAAAGACCTGTACAGGTGCATAGCTAAAGACTTGTCTAACAGAAAAATGGCAAAATTCAAAACATTCAAAACTGGATCAATTGGTGTCTTCATTTCCCAAATGGTTTGCAAGTGTTGTTAAAAGGAAAGGTGATGTGACACTGTAGTAAACGTGCTTCTACCCCAGCTTGTCTGCAAGGCATGGAATAAGCATACATTTACAAAACACATTGAAATTCATAAGGTAAAACGTGAAATATTGTGTTTTTGTTCTGTTTTTAATTTAATGGAGGGTCACACAGAATTTACTAATCACTGCTTTCTGTTTTTATTAGCATTTCACATATCATCCCAGCTTTTTTTGAATTGGGTTTGCAGAATGTTTTACCATACCATGTGAAAGATTAGTAGGATGCTTAACAGGTGAAGCTGGTGGGCTTATAGATGTGGGTGGTGTGGCGTTAATGGCTGGAACAAACGAAACCACAGCATAGGGCAAGCACTGCCTTGGTCTTTTGTTAAGCTCTTGGTTTTCATTGTAGTCAAAGAGAAACACCTGCAGGCATAACATAGCAATGGTTCATTTAAAAAGCTTGGCAATAAAAAATGTATTATGTTATTTTGTGCCATTACTGACTTACAGACGATCCCAAAACCTGCTGAGAAAGGCTTTCTCGATGTGACACTGCATCCTTAGACATGTGACAGTCAAAAGCAACCATAGGATCTGGTGTTCTGTTCCAATCCAAGCTTGGTGTTACTTTTTTCACCTTTCCAAAGAGGACCTTGAGAACAAAACCGAAATGTAAATTATTAAATGTTGTAAATATTCAACATATTCAAGAACATATGTATACAAGATTTATTACAAGTACAGTTGCAAGTGTAGTTCAACTAACCTTGAACACAATCAGGTTTTTCCCACTTAACGTGCTGGTGGCTGCATGCTTCAGGGCCACATCAACATGCCTGAACAAATAAACCCCATGTGATGGCTTTCCCAAAGAATACTGCTCCTGAGTCTCAGTCCTTAGACCCAGCTGGTAAATTTGAGTTGTCATTTCATGAGATCCAGCCAAAAAGCAAAATCTTTCTTCCATTTCTCTCCCATGTCTACCTTTTGTACGCATCTCTGACCTGCAATTGGTGAATCATAAAGTTAATTAAGGTGTAAAAAGTAAAAAAGGTTCATACTCAATGGGTTTCACAGTAGGTGTATGCTATTTTTGCCTGTTTTGGAGTTAAACTAGGCATTTTTTCCTTCAAAAATATTGATGGAATATATTTTGATACAAATGTGTATTATACACAAAACTGGAAGTGAACTGGAGCCAGCAAGTCAACATTTATTTATTTTTTTTATTGTATTTATATGCTCTTTTTTAATATGGCAGTTGTACATGATTTTTGGGATATCGAGAAAGCTGTAGTTAGGTTTTCCATTTTATCTCGGCACAGCCGTCTTTGTGGTGAAGTATGTGGTGTATAGTTTTCAGAGCAGGGGGTTCCCTTTCCACTCTCATTGCTCGTTATCAGCTGATCACAGAGTCACAACATTTCACACAGTGCACCAACAGTGTTTTAGCTAGTCTGATTTTTTTTTGATCATACTGATAAAAATATCCAAGTCAATTTCCATTCCGCTGGCGGAATGGCCACTAGGGGGCCTGCATAAAGAGGCCACCTACTAGCGTGTGATGATCAACTTACCTTTTTTCTGAGAATTCCTTGAGGAACTCCTCATTGTGCACTAACTTTACATCTTTCCACAGCCAGGCATTAGCGTGCTCCTTCCTCATGTCTAATCTGGCCTCTCTCAACTTGGACTGAATAAGACTGTAATCCCGGCTTTCCTCGGGGCAAGGCTCCAGGAGGACTGTTCAGCAGAGTACAAGTTAGAGAGCATGGTTAAAACCCACAGGACCGGATACTCAAAGAAATCTAGAGCTTTGGATGAAATTCAGGCTGTTCACCAACATTTCCTATGATGTTTTCTATTCTGACTGAAAAAGCGAAGTGGCTATCTTTCCATGTCTCAGCAAGATGACTTAATATACGTCATGTATTTTGAGGTAGTGGGTTAATTGTAGGAACCTTGTCCAGACACCCGCTTCTTCCTGGGTATGGTGAAGTTCCTCAATGCCAGGGTGCCAGCAGGCTTAGTGGGGTTCGTTGAGGAGAGCTGGACTCCTTCCCTCCCTCGTCCCTCCATGTCGGTTTACTACAGAATTTCACCCTGCAAACAGTAGATGCCTCATTTAAGCTTTATGAAAACTGAGCAATAGCATGCTAGTTTATTTCTCAACACCACTTTGGATGGCCTAAGCCTCGAACATCTGGAAAAAGCTCTCGTGCTAATGTGTGAGGACCCACCCGTTTCAGTAGAAGTGTTAGAAGGCTCTGTCACAGCAGATGACCACAACACAGTGTGTGTAGCCATCTGAAATGACCAGCCATATTATTTTTAACAACACACATTGCTCATATCCTTTACCGCTTCCTGCGTAGCAGTGTTACGGAAATAACACAATATTCCAATGTGTCTCCTCATTACTACTAGCTTTGTTGACCATTGTCAGTTTGACCATTTTTAAATTTCCGGTTCAATGCCTCTTCTAAACTGTGCAGCCTGCTGGTTCCTGACCCCTTTGATGCAACACGATTAAGTTCTAACACACAGCTATGTACTCGAAAACAAATCTCACCCAGTTTCATGTCGGCGGAGGGCCTCGCTGCTGAGCTGTCCTGATTATGACATGTTTCTAATGTTGCAGTCCTCTTTAAATCGACCTTTGTCTACTCTCCGTAGATAAGCATTTGATCCTCCATTTGTTCTGTTTCAACCATGTGACTGTATGACCATGAAAACACACTGAAGTACTTTAAACATACTTTCCTCAACTGGCATACGCTAATCATCTGAGCCAAACGTACAGCTGTATACATAGCGGATAAGGGTGCAACCAGGAGAAAAAGCCGTGAGCAGAGAAAAATGTTGAAAGGAGAAGCATGTTTATGCACCGTACGTTTCTACTGCTCTCTGCAAAGCGGCAGATAAATGTGGAAATAACAGAGATACGGATCTGTGCGCGAGATATCCTGTGGAAACTGACAATATTACATAACTTCATGCTGCTAAACATGAGCATGAGAGAGTTAGAAGAACTTCTCATTGATCTACTGAAGGAAGAGGAGATGGTGGTTCATCTCTCTGTCTTTCATAGTTCAATTAAGTTGATTTCCATGCAGTAGACATACATATAATGCGCATTCAGAAATATCACAGTGGAGAGTTATTAATGTTAGTTGTACAGTGTTGCTAAATAACAGAAAAAGACATGTAGCTAGAAAATAGAATATGTTTATTTCTACTACGTATGTAAAATGAAACCCACTTCTACTGTTCGCACCTGTTCTCACGACCACTGATGTGTTTTTAGTTTAAAGACATTTCATTAATCACAGTCGATTCAGTTATTCAGACAAAATCTGTATGTACTTACCATTACGACAAAGGCTGCTTAAGCTTTTCTGAGCAAGGGCTGTGTGACATGTGTTTGTAGGGAACTGTGCAGTTTGTCACTTCAGTTTGAGGAACATCAAGTGAGACATACCAAAAAGGAAATCGCTTGACCTCAAACTCTGAACTGCAAAGGCACAGGAAATTACCCAGCACTGCTAGCGGTAAAACCATAGGTTGTGCTTCTTTAGTCCAACCACAGCATGAACTTTAACAGAATCAGCTACATGACAGCCCCCAGGGACCATGGAAAAATCTACCGTTTAATAATTAAGATTATTTTTTCTATTAACATTAACATTTTTCCATTAACATCTATTAAAAATGGTAAGTGAAAAACAGTTTGAGGATGCTAGGTGACTAATGCAGCAGCAGACCCAATGGACATTGCGCTGTCTTTCTTGAACATGCTCCTTGTGTGCTCAAGATCATGTGATGCAAAAGCATTAAACTACTCACATGTTAAGATTCAACTGAAAAAAGCAAATTTCTGTTTGTAATCAAAATGCCTTTTTCGACTTTTTATTGCACGTCTCATACAGAGCTAGTATAACTAGTTGCATTTACTCAGTTACATGTACTCAAGTACAATTTTGGTGGATTTGTACTTTAGTGAGCATTTTTAAGTAAGTGATCCACTGCAGTTCTGTAAGTCACTCAGTACTTGAGCTGTTTTTTTGATCCTTTTGCACAATACTTGAGTATATATGTATATATATGAATATATAAATAAGTGTATTAATTTTTCATCCAACAGGCTCAAACCATATCATAGATAGGCAGATAGATAGATAGACAGACAGACAGACAGACAGACAGACAGATAGATAGATAGATAGACAGACAGACAGATAGATAGACAGACAGATGGATAGATAGATAGACAGACAGATAGATAGATAGACAGACAGAAAGACAGACAGACAGACAGATAGATAGAGATATTAAACACCCCTGCTTACACTACATGTTTTTTTGATTTAGTAAAGAAGTAATAAAAAAGTTAACACGACGGAGAACACACTTCTGCACATTTTACTTTTTTATTTTTATTTACTTTTTTTTATTCTTCTGATAACCCTTCCATAAACAGTTTTTTTGTAAAGCGGCTTTAAGACAGCACTATTTGTATAAATGTTATTGTTGTTGTTGTTTAACATATTAAAAAAATATAAAATGTGCTATAACTTTTGCACAGGCTGAATGGTTGAAGTTTTTTTCCAATATGTTAAATTCAGCAAATAAACAGTAATTCTGCATTAAAGCGTGCAGAAGTGTGTTCTCTTACTCTCTCTCTCTCTCTCTCTCTCTCTCTCCCTCTACAGCAAACATTACTGCAGTGTGTCCGCATTTCTCATTACTGATATTTATTTAGCTTTATTAAAATAAAGGGTTTATATTACATTTAACTGTGATCTTTTTACTGTAATGTTTTCTTTATAAATTTTAAAAAAGTGAACCAAAACAGCAAAATGCTCAGTGGCAAGTACAAAGAAGTACAAAGAAAAACCTCAGTGGCTGTCAATGTGTTTCAATAATGAAATAAAATTGCAAAATACTATGTTTTGTAAAATATATACGTTTTAATAATTTATTTTCAAATTTTTAGTCTGACAACAGTTTAGAGATTATAAAAAAGTGAGTAAAAAAAACGTTATTTAGGGTGGGGTGTGACAATTCACAAAATTTGCATATAATTCAGTTTGATGTGATGTGGTGATGCATTTTTGGATACAGAAAATTACAGTTCATTAACATGCCTTATGTTGATATATTAATGTTTCCATTTTCACTTTGTTAGAGTATTCAACATTGTAGGAGCGCCACATTTGACTCCTGAATTCTGGTTTCTTAGCAGTGTGCAGTCAGTGCCAGCCACAGTATAACGGCACCACAAGACGGTATACTGTTAGAGCGCTAATATATACACTGCATATATACGATGCTGCGATACACTGACTCTAAGATCTCTGATGTTTGTTTCCCTTGTGAACAGCAGCAGGGTAACAGGAAATGGTGAGATAGTTGCCTCAACTGACCATTGGGAGGAGAGAGACTAATAGCAGGGGCTTTTTTCTTTTTTTAATCTTTACACAATCTAAAGCAGCAGTTCTGTTTTAACCACTTCCTTTTTCTGCTTAAACTTAATTAGGGGTTCACACGAAGCAGAAGAAAGACTCTTAAGCTCCCCTTAAAGTGTCATACTATAAAATAATTGCATGGAAATAGCCAGTAGTGCATACTGGAAATGCGAGATGGGCTAATTATATGAGAAAACTATTAATAATAGACTACAGCTTCTACTTCTCAGTTCGTCCTTAAGCTGCTATTGCAAAACTTAGGCATACTTGCAGTGGACTTGTCATTGCCAGTAAAATGATCTTTGTGTAAACAGGCTGGCACAGTGTAAGTGGAAGACTGAGATAAGTGATATTAAGCAAAATGAAGCAAAAAATATGAATAAAATGGCTTGTACTTAAAAGGATTTTTCATGCATTCTCTAAACTTGGATCTTGGATTAGCCATAGTCAGTCAAGTTTGTATTCTGTATTCTCTACGTAAATTAGGCAAGTGCTGATATACAAATAGATTTCACATGACTGCATAACCCTTTATCACTGTTACTATACTGATACAATAGTCTATTAAGACAAAAATAAACAACACATTTAAGATAATACATGTAGTGTTCTCAGTGCCATTTTTAATAACAGTAATGTGTTGGTTGTTGGATATTTTAGGTATTTCTGTCTTTAAAATGAACTTCCCTGATAACTCTTGGCAGTCTTCATTAATTTCCACATAAAATGCTTTTCTTTTTCTTTTTTATCGGTCATATTGAGCATCATGTTTTTGCTTTCCCCTGGATTGTTTTTTCAAGACAGATGGTTCACCCTTTAGGTAACACATGTAAGAAAGGACATCACTGCAGCCTTTATCATGAGCTAAGAAGGTGCTCAGACTAATAATACACTAAAACAGCTGAAGAAACATTAAAAAAGCATGAGATCAGTGTTACAGTGAGGTGGGAACTTGTGAACCCTGACCTGCTCTGCATATCTAAAAATCACTAGTGAGACTTGTTTTACCTAAAATGCGGTGATGCTATTTTAAAGTACGCATGATAATATCTTGTGCTGATTATCGCAGTATACCTTGTTATTGAATGTCTGTAGTTTCTTTAGTGTCTAATGTAAATACATACAGATTTGTGAATAATTCAGGACTGCCGACTCATCTATTTATAACTATACATATATATTTAGAAATGGCTACAAATCAGTTGTGGTCACTTTAAGGTTGGTGGTTAGGAGTAGCCAAAACCCATAGCATAAGAAAAATATTGTTACTTCAGTGAAATGACTCAAATAGAAGTAGAAGTTCAAAAAACAACTTGTGTAGAAGTTCAAAAGTATCAAAAGAAAAAAACAAGTTAAGGCTACACTATGCAATTTCGGGGGATTTGGAGACCTCTCTGGTGGAAATATGTAATTGCATACAATGTGTGGAAGAACATTTTTTGTAAAGTCAGCTGTGCTTCAGACCCCTTCCCCGAGTGGATGAATCTGACTTTGTAACCGTTGAAGGAGAATTCAAAGAAAACCCTGTCACTTGGGGAAGGATGTGTCTGCTGAGGACCTAAGTAAATTATCTACTATTATCAATATAACTTCATCAGTATTATGTTGATTTTGCATTTTGAGGTTCTTTTTGAATCCGTGCATGTGACGTTAATATGATGTGACATTTTAGTGTTTTTTTTTCTCTTGACTCAGTAATGCTACTTCTTTCAATGTTAACAAAAAATATTACGTAATGCAGCTTTAAATACTGATTGACTTATAGAAATGCACTGGAATTTTTAGTCCATCCATTAAAAAGCTTACAGATGTGACCAATTATACAGCAGTACACATGCGATCATCAACATAAAAAGAATTAGTAAATAAATATTCATGGCTAAATGAGGAAAAAGTAGATCCTTTGCTTCACAACTACACTTTAGTAGAAGTAAAAGTTTTATAATTTGAAAATACTCATAAAAAAACGAATTCCTAAAAAATTTACTCAAGTACATGAAACCGAATGAACTAATTACCACCCACCTCTTTTAGAATAAACTGTTTTTTTTGGCAATTTTCAAAGACATGTAT